TAAGTGTCTGTTTTTTTGTTTATGTCTGTATTTCTGTTTGATGTTTGTGCAGTACGCTCGGAATCGCTACAAGGTTGTGTTATGGACGTGTCTCCCGATGGAACTAAGTACTGGACGCCTTCGTGTGACGAGGCGGTTAGGCCTTTTGTGTGACACCTCGTAAATCCAAACACTAATCAAGGATTAATTGGAGAATTAATCCAAGTCTCTTTGCTAATCTATTCCTAAAAATCCTGAAATTTAATAGTCGAAGGACTAGATTTTGACTAGTCACTTAAGTCAAAGGGTTGTACCTTGTGCTTCTTGAGTTGTGCCCTTGTTCCCTTGTCTTTCCAACATTAGTAAGGGTAGGAATGTCTTTCTACCTAAGGTTTGTGATTCAAGCTAACCTAGCAAGACTCTTTCAGTTCATTCACCCTTCAACCTAAAACACAAAAACTCTAGCCTCTCTCTAAAATGATTTCGCTTCTTCTCCAAGCTAGAATTTGAGTATCCAAGTCTTGCAAGATTTTCTCCCAAGATTCCTACTTTCTTCATCTTGAGCATAGGGGAGGGTAAGATCCTTGGCTTTTTGGTGGCTCCCTCATGGTGGACTCTAGCCCCCAGGTTGCCTCTTCTACTCCATGACGCGACCACACACCTTTACCATCTTTACCGACTTCCTGCGGGTCTCTCTCGCTTTGAAATCCAAAATCCGGAGCGGTCTCTCCTCATAAGACAAAGTGCCGTCAAGAGGTACCACTTCTGAAGAAATCACATGAGAAGGGTCGTGTACATATTTCTTCAACTAGGACACATGGAAAACATTATGCACCCTCTCCAACTCCATTGGCAGCGCCAGACGGTAAGCTAGGTTCCCTATCCTCTCGAGAATCTCATAGGGACCAATAAACCGGGGACTTAGCTTGCCTTTCTTCCCGAACCTCATTACTCCCCGGGTGGGAGAAACCTCCAACCATACCTTGTCCCCAATAGCGAACTCTGCCTGTTTCCTTCCTAAATCCGCATAGGACTTTTGCCGATCCTGTGCCATTTTCATTCTCCCTTGGATATGCTTGATTTTCTCTATGGTATCATGTAAATACTGCAGTCCCAACATCACCGGGTTAACCAAATTCTCCAAACCTGCGGGTACCTCTTGATGGGACTATGTCTTATAAGGAGAGACCGCTCCGGATTTTGGATTTCAAAACGAGAGAGACCCGCAGGAAGTCGGTAAAGATGGTAAAGGTGTGTGGTCGCATCATGGAGTAGAAGAGGCAACCTGGGAGCTAGAGTCCACCATGAGGGAGCGTTATCCGGATCTGTTTACCTCAGGTACCTCGCGTTACCTTTCTTGGTGTGTAGTCTTAAGCCGGGTGTTGGGTAGTTGATCTTTTAGTAGCTTTGTGCTCGAGAAATTTTCCCCCGTATTTTGAAACCTTGCATTTACTTGATTCTTGAAAATCTCACACCTCTTGGATCCTTGAAGTCTTGTTTATTGGTATTTTTGCTTCCTTTTGTCACATTATTGATTCGTTGCCACTCGTTTGATTGAACTCGTCGTACCCAAGCTTCAGGGACGAAGCTTCTTGTTAGGGGAAGAGGATGTGACACCCCGTAAATCCAAAACACTAATCAAGGATTAATTGGAGAATTAATACAAGTCTCTTTGCTAATCTATTCCTAAAAATCTTGAAATTTAATAGTCGAAGGACTAGATTTTGACTAGTCACTTAAGTCAAAGGGTTGTATCTTGTGCTTCTTGAGTTGTGCCCTTGTTCCCTTGTCTTTCCAACATTAGTAAGGGTAGGAATGTCTTTCTACCTAAGGTTTGTGATTCAATCTAACCTAGCAACCCTCTCTCTAAAATGATTTAGCTTTTTCTCCAAGCTAGAATTTGAGCATCCAAGTCTTGCAAGATTTTCTCCCAAGATTCCTACTTTCTTCATCTTGAGCATAGGGGAGGGTAAGATCCTTGGCTTTTTGGTGTTTCTAATATCCTTTTAGGTGTCTTTTTCTAAAGTTAGGATCTTTGTTGTGTTTTGTTATGTGTAAGAAGTTGGTGTGGAAGAGGAGCTCTAGGAAAGGCTTTTGAGGGTGAAAAGAGGAAGTTGTTAGGCTACAAAGGTAACCCATGCTTTACAAAACCTATTTTCTTACTTATATGATTATTCTTGGCTTCTACTTGTGATTCTTGTGTTGATTTGTGAGCTTTGATGCATTGTGTTGTGGTGATACATGTTTAGAGCTTGTTCTTAGGGTTCTTGAATGCCATTGCTTGGCTATTTCTTGGGTTCAAGTCATATTGTTGTTGTGGGTGAGATTTTGGGTGTTTTGGACTTGAACTTGGCCTTATTGTTGAAAATCCCCGAAGGGATAATTTGGTCTACAGGGACGTACCCGCGGGCGGAACGGTGGGCAGAGGCCTACCCGCCGCCCCACCCGCGGGGAACCGGTGGCCTTGTGGGTGTGTACCCGAGGGCGGAATCGTGGGGAACGTTGTGGTTTGATGTCGGGGATTTGTTCCCCGTGATTCTTTCGTCTCGGTATTGATGTTTTGATCTCCCGTTGTTGTTTTAATGGGCTATTTGTGAGTCTTCTTGATGTTTCGTATGTCTAGAACGGTATGTTAGGAATCCATGTAGGATTTGGTGTCTTGAATCGTGCTAAGGGTCCAACTTTGTGATTCGTTGGACTATTATGAGTCTTGAATGTTCTTTGGAATTACTTTTGGTTTACCGGTTTGATGAGCATGCTAGTTTGATGTTGATATGCTAGTGTCTGTGGTTCGTTCCTTCGTAATGAGATTTCCAACTTGTGTTGTCAATCATTTGGTGTTGGATTGTAATCCTTTGTTGTTGAGTATGGTCTCATGTCTTTATTGTGATCTCTTGATTGATTCCCATGATATGAACGTATGCAAATCATTGTACCCTTTGTTGATACCTGATTGAGGCTATTGTTGAGCCTTAGTCTTCTTGGTAATGATGATGACCTTGTGTGACTATGATTGAATGTGGGTGGTTGTTACTTGAGTTTTGCTCACATGTAGGTGGTTGTGTGAATGAAATTAACGGTACCCTCATGTACTGAGATGTAGGTGGAAATGTGGGTGGTTGTAGGTGGGGGGACGACGGTCCCCGGAGCCATAAGGTTGGACTCAAAAGTACAGGGGTTACTTGGAGGTAATGCTTGGAACTGAAATAAGGTCGGGGGTAGCCATAAGGTTGGAACAGGGCATAAGGTTGGAACAATGAAACTTGTGACATGTAGTTGTCACTGTGGCATGTACTTCTCACCATGTGAATGTAAATTCCTTGCTTATGAGCATGTCTTGATGTATTCTACTTTGTGATCAGTAGAATGCATCCTGAGTTGTGTTATTTCTCATGTTTGTGGTCTTGTGGTTATGGTGAGGATGATGATCCTCGTTTCTATTGAGAGTGATTGATGAGTCTTTGATGTTGACTTTTCTCTTTGGTTTTAAAAGGATATATATTGTATTCCTGTTCCAAATGGTTTTGATTATATCTATCTATATATGTTATTTTACGCGTATTGATGGGTTACCAGCAATATTCGCTGACCGGGTGTTATCCCTTGATTCTACAGGTTTTGAGTAGATGCTGAGAACACTAGATGTGGATCGCTAGATCGATTAGCTACCATGTTTAGACGTTATCTTTTGTTGGCTTGTGAGCCTAGTTTAGCGGCCTGTGTGCCTAGACACTTTATGTTTTGTTGACTTGATAGTTTTCCCGCCTATGCACCTATGTTTGAGATAGGTGTGGCATAACACTTACCGATTTTGTATAACTTCCGCTTGCTTTATGTCTTGATGATTAGATGTTTTCCTTTGAATTTAAGTTTTAAAAATGTGGTAAAAATCGGGAGTGTTACATTTTGAGGGGCAGGCTTTTCCTTCTCTCGCTCACGGTATTGATTTTTATCATCAGTATGCGTCTCTTGTTGGTTTTGACGTACGTTGTAGTTTGGTGCGTAAGAATAGGGAGGGTGTTGTTGTAAAAGACTTGTTGGTTTGTTCGCGTGAGGGATTCAAGCAGGGGGCAGGGACCCGTTGTTGTGAATGGTGCGTTGGATCAACCAGCTGTGGCTCTGAAGCGTCGGCGTGTTTCGAATAGGGTTGGTTGCAAAGCGAGGTTGTTGTTAAAGATGGTTGATGATGGGGTTTTTGTGGTTCCTTTCATTGAGCACCGTCATAATCATTGTTTGTGCTCGGATGTGGCTAAGCCTTTCCTGCGGGTTAATCGTTCCATGGATGTTCAACACCAAATTTTTGTGCTTAAGTGTGCTAGGGCCAACGTTGGGCCTAATAGGTCGTTTCGCTTGGCTAGGGAGTTTGCTAGTTCCTATTCTAATGTTGGTGTGACATGGGTTGACTTTAAAAATTTGAAGCGTGATTTAATGTCCTATATTGGGACTTCTTATGCTCATATTATTGTGAAAAAATATGTTAAGAAGGTAGACGATTGCCCAGACTATTTCTTTAAATATGATGTGGATTCTCAGGATCAGTTACGGATGGTGTTTTGGGATGACCCTATTTCAAAGGAAAATTTTACAGCTTTTTGGGATGTGGTGTCGTTTGATGCGACTTATGGTACTAATAGGTAAGCCACGTGTTTGTAAAAAAAATTCCTTGTAGTTGGTTTATTTTTAAATTTCTAGTATGTGCAGTTTGGTCTTATTTATTCGTGCATGCAGTGTGCTAACACCCATGGTTCTATTCTTTTTTTTGGTTTGCTGTTCTGTCTTCGAGGTACGGTATGGTATTGGTTCCATTTACTAGTGTTGATAATCACAAGAGAGGCGTCACATTTGCAATTGGTTTGATTTCTCATGAAGATGTGGACTCTTATGTGTGGCTTCTTCAGCAATTTAAAAGTGCATTGGGTTGTGTGCCTAGTTGCACTATCACTGATCAAGATGCTTCAATGCGGGTTGCAGTCCCACGGGTGTTTGATACTACGTGACGCAGGTTTTGTATGTGGCATATAATGTCAAAGGTTGGTGAGAATGTTGGTAATGTTCTATCTAAAGACAAGGAGTTTCGGCGTGCTTTGAATGATGTTGTTTGGAGTGAGACGTTGTCCGTGGAGGAGTTTGAGCGGGGTTGGCAGGACGTAATGGAAAAGTATAGCCTTGGTGATCACCGGTGGTTTCGTCTTATGTATGATATGAGATCGTATTGGATCACTGCGTTTTTTAATGATCTTTTCATGGGTGGTCTGCTTCGCACGACATCTAGGTCCAAAGCTGCGAATAGTGTGTTTGGTAGTTGCACAAACCAACATGCTAGTTTTTCTGAGTTGTTCAACAATTTTGAAGGGGCTATTGATGCTCAACGTGTGGCGCAGGCCAAACTGAATGCCGAATGTGAGGGCCATTTTCCTTTATGCCAGACTCTGTTGTTGATTGAGAAGCATGCGGCGGCAGTGTATACAGTCAATGTTTTTTATGATGTTCAAGCCGAGGTTATTGCGGGATCATTTTCGTGTCGTTCTGTGCGTTCGAATGTTGAAGGGATGGTAACCCAGTATGAGGTTCAAGATGGTGATGAGCTGGTGCACACCGTGAGTTTTGACTCTGTTAGTATTGTTGTCGAGTGCACGTGTAACATGTTTACACGGGTTGGATTACTTTATCGTCATATTTTCTGAGTTTTCAAGGACCGTAGGGTTGTTTCTATCCCTTCTCGGTATGTGGTTTCATTTTGGACTAGGGGTGCTTGTGTGCAGCAGTTGTTGCGGGTTCAACGTGGGGGCTCTTCGGATGTAGATATCGCTATTGGTGAAGCTTGTGCAGAATTCTTTTCGTGCATGACCATGGCTTCACGGAGTGTTGATCATGTTATGAAGTTGACTGCAGTTTTGAAAGATTTCAACTCTGTTTTATTGGCTGGGAATGGTCCCAGCGATCGCTCTTCTGCTTCTAAGAAGCAACTATTTGATTCGTTTTGCGGTGCTTCGCCCGATGGTCAAGTTGATATTCGTCCTCCTCCTATATCTAATAACAAGGGTGGTGGCAAACGTTACAAAAGTACAACGGAAATAGCTGTTGAAAAGTCTGGACGTCGTCAACGACAATGCCAAACTTGTGAAAAGTATGGCCATAATAGTCATACCTGCCCGATGCGCAACGCTGACATATGAGGAAGGGGGTCGTATTGCTCTTTGAATTTTATTTAAGCTTAAACACATTGCTATGTTTTTTACTTCTCCACTGACTTGTTCTTATTCCGCATTTCCTGTTAGTTTTCAATAATGGATTTGTTTTGTTTTGTTTCTTGGATTTGTTTTCAATTTTGTGGAACAATTTTATCTTCTCCGTTTTTTACATAGAGTTTGTCAATTTCTCAATGCCCTGTGTAATCTCGTCGCTACGTTAGTTCTTTACATAATGAGATGGATTTGGTATTGTTTTATTCTGTTTCCCCTTTTATGTAACCACTCCCCAATTACATAGTGTAGTTTTGTGTCGTTGCACATGGTTTCTGGAATTTTGTGCTAGATTGCACATATGCTTCCTTTGATGTTGCACATCAATTCAACTATTCTTGAAATGACTATATGGGTTTGGTATTGTTTTATTTTGTTTCCCTTTTTTGTTAACATTCCCCTAATGCACAGTTTAGGTTAGGTACTTGGACATTGTATCTGGTTTTGTGTGCTGTCTTGCACATTCGGTTCCTATGATGTTCCACATCATTTCGACTTTGGGGTGTCATGCAAACATGCATTTTAATAAAACTACAATGTTAAGTTAGTTTATTACCGTCGCACCAACGACTCCCTATCGTGATGCATTATCTATTTCTGAGTTGGTGCACATCACCATAACGTGTCATAAACTATTTAACGGACTATGAGTTATTTTTATTGACAATTAACATTGCTTGAATACAGTCACCGATGATGCACATACTGGTTCATCCAGTTGTAACGTATTTGCACAATGCCGTACACCACTGATGCACGAATTCAACATGAAGAATATCCATTCCTCGGTAACACAACGTGAATACTTGCACATTTGGATCTGTTTTACGTCTCAAACATTTGGTGTTTGCATTGTTCTTTGCTTTTTGTTGCCACTAATAGTATCCTTTGTTGGTCCCAAAAGAGGTAAGGTGAAAGTCTAGAGGGGGGGGGGGGGGTGAATAGATTTTCAAACTTTTTCGCATAGCACAACAGTTGCTAAGCCAGAGATAAACCAAAACTCTTAACTAGATTGTTAGAGTATGGTGCACAGCGGAAATAAATAAACATAAAGTGTGTGTGAGATTGTGTGAGCAGTATATCTCGTGTAGAGCGAATATGTAAAGAGCGGTAAGTAAAGAAAGCAGTAAAGAACACAAGACAATTATAGTGGTTCGCGAGGTGGTGTAATCCTCCTACTCCACTTGCTCTTATCTCCAAGAGCAATTCACTATATCTACCACTTCTTGGTTCCGAGATACAATGAATTTCCGTGATCTAGTGCTTTGATCACAAAGCCCGCACTAATCACGCCCAGTGACACCACACTGCTGCTTCGGGTTTCACGTCGCCGCGCTACTATCCCAGGATTTCATGACTCCGCGTTACTTTCCCCCCGTCTTCCACACTCCGGTAGAAACGTATCTCGTGATCTGGTGCTTTGATCACCAAGCCCACACCAATCACGCCCAGTGCCTCCGACACTGCTGCTTCGGATCTCACAGCTCCGTGTGACAATCCAGGATTTCACAGCTCCGTGCTACTTTCCTCCCTTCTCTTGTTTTGCTCCAAAACAAGTGTTGTCTTGCTTCCAACTTCTGAGACTCTGTAGATGATCTTCAATGATGCGCAGGTCTCTTTGATGAAGATAAACACTCTGGAATGATTTCTCTTGATAGCTCTGAGTGTTTTCTCTCTGTGAATATATCAAGTAAAGCACTTGATATTTTTGCTCTGTTTAAGAACTCTCAGAATATTTCTCTTTTGAAGCTCTCTGAGTTCTTTTTCTTTTCTCACTTCTCACTTGAAGATTTTTGGTATGCTCTGTACCAAATGAGATTTTTGCTCTATGCTCTTTTCAAGCTTAATTGCTCTATTCGATCTCTTGATGAGTTTCGAATTTTCTGCTCTCTTGTTCGTGAGTTTCCCATCTTCAAGTCTTCATATCTTCATCATTTTATAGCTGGTAATGAGAATCTGTCCGTTGGAAAGAGACGCTCTCATTTTTGAAATCTTGTATCTTTTTGTCAGAGATCTTATCTTATCTTCTGCAAAGATGTCAGAAAGGATAAGCTAGCCGTTGTTAGAGCTTCATCTCCATGTAAATGGGTTCTCAAACTTCATCTGATATTTCCTCGGGTTTTACGTTGAGTGGGAATATCTGGGTGTAGAATGGCTTCTCTGATTAGCTCTGAAGTGGTCTTTGTATCTTTGGGATTTAAAAATATTCATCAATTTAATCCCATACTAGTTAAACTTGTATTTTTCCTTGTGAGAATATTTTCACTGTAAGTTCATCTTCATCTTCTTCATTCTCACGTCTGGGTGTTCTCAGACTTCAAACTGGCTTTGAACTTCCACCCAATTTGAATTTCTCCTTTGTAATTGACACCCAATTTCAATTGGCTTGTAATTGGCACCCAATTTGAATTTCTCCATTGTTATTGGCTCCCAATTGACTTTGACTTGCAATTGGCTCCCAATCTGCTCCTGGTGCTTTCAATTGCTTCCCAATTTGAATTATTGACTTTGACTTCGAAATTGGCTCCCAGACTTCTCCTGGTATTGAATTTCATCTCAATTCAATTTGATCTCCATGTCTTCTTTGAATCGGTCCCTAACTTGAAATTGCATCCCGTACTACAACCTCAATTGGCTAATTGCATCCCATACTACAACCTCAATTGGCTCCCAATTTCAATTCTACATTGGCTCCCATCTTGAATTGATTCTCATGTGAAACTTGCCTCCCATCTTGAATTGATTCTCATGTGAAACTTGCCTCCCAATTTCAATTTCTCATGTGAAACTGCTCCCAATTTCAATTGATTTCAATTTCTCATGTGAAACTTGCTCCCAATTTCAATTTGCTTCGAACTAGCTCCCAATTTCAATTTGCTTCGAACTAGCTCCCAATTTCAATTGCTATGAAATCGGCTCCCAAGTGCAATTGCATCTCAATTGCCACCCAAGTGAAATTGCTTCCCAATTTCCACTTATAACCGGCGCCCAACTCCATCAGATTAATTTAATTTGGCGAGGTAAAATTGTTGATGGTGAGTTTCAAACTTGAGCCATTTCGCATAATATATCAAGCATCATCCACTTCGTCCGTACATCTTTTGATCAAATCTCCAATCATATTTGATGTACTCCTTTCTTTCCATAGATGCTTGATCTCCAAGTCAATTTCATGCATTCTTCCAACATTAATTTTCTTCACGAAAATTCTTCTGGGATATCTTCTTTGAGTAGCATTGACGTGAATTATTGTATCATTCATCTTCTTCTTCAATTTGTCATTTTCTCCAGACAAATTCTTGATTTTCGGCTTTATATCTTCTTCTTCTATTTTCATCCATCTTCCTCTGTTTTTCTCTTTTCATAATTAAATAATTTCCCGATCATGGTCTAAGACTCTACTAGACCTATGAAATAAAATTGGGGGATCTACTAATACAAATTTGGCATATCAAAACCATTACACTTTATTCCTAACAATTTCCCCCCTTTTGATAATGCCAAAACCTATACTCAGTCATTGGCTTTAAGTCTTTGAAAAATAATCTTTTTGCTCAATTTTATTTGACAAAGCCAAGATGAGTTTAACAGATGGGTTTCTAGACACAATCAAAAGAAACTTGTGAATTAAATTTTTAGACAAGGTCCTAAACGCATCTTGAATTATTTTTATTTTGATCATCATCAATTTTTAATTTTGTCGTGCGTTTGACATATTTCTTGTCTTTTAATTCACGAAAGTCTAATTACATTAAACAAATAAAATTAAAGACTCAAAATAGACCATGGGAAGTTATTATTGATATATTTCGAATTTATGGAGAAAAACGCAACAGAGGTTCGAAAATAGAGAAAATATCAGCTCAAGAGAATTTTCAGATTACCTTCTGGGTTTCTTCACACCAGAGTCTTTCTTCAAAATTTCCTTGACATGTTCTCTAAGCTTGAAGAAATCATCTTTGAACTTTGCATTCTGAAATTTCTTTGTAAGCTGTCCGGCCATATAGTGTCCATAAGCTTCTTTGATATTGTTGCCCGGAAGAACTCCGTTTTCCCACCATAAGACACATTCTTCGAAGCTTCTTTCTACTCCAAGATTCATGCCCATATTTCCGGTGAAATCTCTTAGTTCATACCACATCTCGGTTCTTTTCCTTTTGCCTTCTACTTCTTTATTCTTTTCCGAGATCCATTGGGCTTGATCGGCTGCAGGCCATTTCTTGATCATGCTTGGTAGATTTTCCTTAGTCCATATTGTTGTCTGAGTGGCGGTACCCTTAGAGCATTCAAACCAGCCACGCTGTTCAGCAACCTTCGATGTACTCGTACCAAGACTAGGATTCGCGAACTGAGCAAAACCAATCTGAGATGGTCCTTGTGAGGATTGTCCGCGGCTTCGGCCTCTACCTTGAGTAGACACTACTGGCTATTGTTGGCTTCCAAGAATAAATTCTTGTTGTTGCAAAGCCAAGTGACTGAGAATTTCTTCCCCCCTTTTGGCGTTATCAACCAAAAACGCAAGGGTCTTAAAATTTCGGTCTTTATTTGCCTTCACAGTTTCAACACTGTTGTGTGTTTCAATGGAAACGGTTTGCACGTTGTCAAGCTTGTTTGTTGTAACTGCGAGTTTAGCTTCAAGTTTGTTGATTCGGCTTTCTTGGTCTTGAATCGCTTTGATTTGTCTCAAGTGACGTTCATTGTTAATCTTTTCAGCTGCTTCACGTTCCTTCTTCATGAGCTGAATCACTTCAAGTAAGCCTTTTGTCAATTCTCCTTTCAAAATTCTTTCTGCTTTGTCAATCTGGGTTTTCAAAATGTTTTGATGCTCCATTAATTCCTTCAGATTGACTCGTGTATCCGTGTGTTGTTGATCCATCTTTTGATTTTGTTCAACCAACTTTTCTCCAATTGTTTGACAAACAACATCACTGGAT